TGTCAAAAGGTCAGTGTATGAATGTAGTTCGTTTTTTCTTTCATGACTTTTTCTTCCAGGTAGCCTAAACTATGGAAAGATTTCAGAAAAAGCAGTTGAATGTATAATAATTAGACTCCTACTGGATTTTAGATTTTAGTCATTGAGTGATAAGTTCCTGCTTCTCCTATTACAGATTTAAGAGGACACGAACCATGAAGGAATAACCCTGACCTGATGGACGGAAGCTAGGTAGGGACTGAGGGAGCACTGTGCAACTCTGCACCTGCATTAGAGACCAGGACGGTACAAAGAAGCCAGTATATCTGTCGGGTTTCTGATGTCAGCCATGATGCTCTGGATCTTTGTAGGCAGGAATGCTTGCACTACATCTATCCTCAAGAAAATTCCCACTGTTCAAGGAGCCCAACTAGGACAAGGGAAGGAGAATGGAAATCCTGACAACTGGTACCACTTCCTTTTTTGTTCAAACACCCAATAAATGAAAGAGTTCTAAGTTTAGTCAAACAGAGGCTGGACCAAAGAGAATTGAAGTAAATCATATGTAAGTTACATAAGCCGTGATATCCTAAAATACAAGCTCCTTGAGGGAAGGGACTCTGTTTTGTTCACTGCATTATACTCTATGCCTGGCAGTAGATACTCCACATATACATGTTGACTACATGAAAAACATTCCAATCCCATCATGGCTTCAGCAGGTGCTGGGAGGTCCTGTTTGGCTTGGAGTCATCCTAATAGAATATAACCCTGACCGTCCTTAGTTAGGGAATAGCCAATTCTGGAAGAGTTCTTCCTTCTTCCTGGTAGTGAGTGCCAGTCACTTAAAATAAGCAACAATCCTATGGTTGTTGCAAAGACGCACACCAGTGTTTGCTTACCTCCATGGGAAGCCAAGACAGTAGATGTCTAATACCAACTGTGTCAAAGACATTAAGAGTGATACTGGATGACTCTTTTAGTGCCACACAACTTCCATCTTCTTTCCAAACTAGGAGCCATCACCTCCCCAACTCCCATCAACCTCTGTACTGGCTGTTCTTTCTGCTTGGAAAATTCTTCCCCAGAATTTCGAAACCCTGGCTCCTTCTTATCATCCCTGGCTCAGCATCAGTGTCACCTCCTCAAGGAGGCCATCCAGTTTAAAGCAGTGCCCCAGTCACTCTCTAACACCACCATGCTTTATCAACAGCTCATATTCTCTTTGATTTTGTTTTTGTTTGATTTGTATCTGCCTTAGCTCTAGTTATTATCAGCTGGGCTTATTAGCTGGGAGACTCTCAGAGTCCCAGTTTCCTTATCTAATTCATTAGTATCATATGAGATAACAATGGAGACTGTCCTGTCATACAATCTTCAAGAAGCATTACTGGTTTAGAAAAAAAAGGCTACTCAATTAATAAGCTTAATCTTTTGAATGGAAAAAAGTGACAAACACCATTTTGAATTCTAAGAGGAAGAAATATAATTTACTATTCTGTAAATAGGAAGACAATTTTCAGTTCTATAGTGAGAAATATATGGGAAGAGTGATAAAGATAAAACTTTTGTTTTAAAGCCACAATAAGGAATGATAATTAAATGATGCTAACTTTCCTTTAATACAATTCTTTAGATAAATAAATAAATGACTAAATGTTGCCAGGATTTGTCACTAAAAGCATTTCAATTCCTCTTTAAGTTTCAGAAACATATATGAAATCTTCCTAATTTTTTGCATAAAATTGTTTATTTCATGATTCAAGTATGTTTTATAAACTTCCACAGTGTAATGAGCCCATCTTGTGGCCTTTTATAATATTGCCACTTTTAAAGTCAAACAATTTTTAACCATAGGTTTAAATGATGTCTTTTATTCAACAAACAACTTTCGAGCACTTACTATGTGCCAAGTGTACGCTGACTGCTGGGGATGCAGTGAGAGATGTAAGAAAAACCAGGTCCTTGCCCTGAATTCATACAAATCAAAAGGAGAGAGAGACTTAAGCAGAGATAATCACAGCAGGAAAGTTAAGTACTATTATATAAAAGTATAAACTTACTATACCAGAGTTAAATGAAGTGTCCCCAGAACTCAGAATAAAACAGATAAACCTCCATTTCCAGGAATAACTCTGATCAGTAAAGAAATCAAGAATCATTCAAGGTTGGATTAATTTCCAGTCTTCTATTCCATAAGTAGTTCACAGAAACCTCAGTCTATCTGGCCCTAATCTAAGTCAATCATTCTCAGAGTGAAGCAATCACAGTATTTTAAAAATAGCTTCCTACGATGCCTATCGGTAAGCAGGTTGTCTATCTTCCTACACCCACTCACAATCACAGTTTTAAAGAAATGAAGAGACAGAGCTCTTTGGGGAAGTGAGGGACTGACATAAAATATTTTAATTAGTCAGGAAGAGAAGGGAAAAGCCCATACTTTCCAATATGACGGTTTGAGGGGGGAAATGTGAATAGAAGTAGGGGTGATAAGCAATTAGGTGTGTGCCCAAATTCCTACCTTCAAGGCTCCATGGGAAGAGGAGGAGGTGATAGCCTGGGAGAAGCACTGCCTGTTTAGGGCTCTGGGAGGAGATTATTGTGCAGAGTGACCCCTGACCAACAAATGACCACACCCAGTGTGGGAGAGACACAGGAGAGGCATGGTCAGCCAGAGACAGGATCACCCTCTGCTCCTGTGTGAGAGATCCTAGGATGAGAGTCCGCAGGCCAACTGTGGAATCACTCATCCTGGGGGAAAAGCCAAGCCACAGCCTCTACTGCAGGGGGTACATCCTTGGCCAAGGTCAGATGGAGGGTATACCAGAGACTCAACAGACCTCAGCACTATCAAGGGCTAAAGAGAGGCCACATCAGCAAGAAGGCACAATCTGAATCAGCACTTGACCAAGCTGAGAAAAAGTAAAGCACAGGTTTACTAGGCAGAGACGTCAGCAGTGGATGCAGGCAGAACACAAGGATTATGACAATAA